AATTTCTGATTGGTTAAATAAGTATGTCATTATTTTTTATGTTTGTTTGGTATAGAGATCACAGATAGATTTTTGAAATTGTTATTACTTTATCGATTTGATAGAGAAAAAAACACATTTAAATGATAGAAAGTAGCCTAAAATTTATAATCTAGGTTATTTGATGACTTAATTTGATTGTTTTTCCCTCCTGATACAATCGAGGGTAGAGAGAGTCAACTTTCTCTAATCTAATACTCTTTCTTACATGGCCACGCGTATACAGCTACTATTAGAGAAACGGGCAATGCTAACTAGTGTTGGAGATGGTTGGAAAAAAGTTAGGGGCGGCCAAATCAAAACGTGGCATCAGTGATTGAAGTCATTAACTTTTAGTCTGAGCCATGTTGGGAGATGCAGACTACTTGGTTGAAGTCCGTGTGACTATCGTAATCAATGGTTGGAGACTCTTGGTGACATGGCTCAGAATCGATCACAATGGTATAGGTGTATACACTCTCTATCTTCCCTTAAACTATGAGATAAAAATCGTTTCATATCATTCTCTCTACGAACTAATTCTTTCACCTCTGAATTAACTACTTTAATGAATTCGGTGTTCATTTTGTTGTGCTAATAAGGTATGTCAACTTGTACCGATACACATATGTGCCTGGTCCTACGTTGTAACTGGCTGACTGGCTGAGTATTAGAGAAGTCCTATTCACTGCATTCTCGCTGGTAGAGTGTTGTTGACGGAATTAAAAGGACGAGTAGCAGATGTTCAGCGCTTTAACCAGATCGGTGGACACAGAGGACCCACCTAGGTGAGTTGGAAAATCCTGATTCCAAATCAAGAGTGCACATGGGCTTCAGAATCCTGAAGGAACAAATGGTGCATGAACCGATTATTGGTCACCGGCTATCATGGGACTGCATCTCCTAATGTTGCTCTATTGCCTTGTGGATCAGACCTTTAGATTGAAGGGTCCGGGTGTGGCCTGCTAAGAAAACCATCTGCTTCGGTTTGGGCACCCGGGCAGTATCACAGCCCACACACAAATCAAGTGACTTGTGTGGGGAATATGTATTCTTGGTCCTTTCGTACCAATATTTATGTGTTCAAATAAATAAAATAAGTTTCACACTTTAAGTAACAGTAGTAAACATATTAGTATATAGTCAATATTAAATTTTGTTTGTAGACGAGCTTACTTTGGAATCTGTTTATTGGGGTTTTAAAATAATAAGAAAAATCGTTCAAACAAATATGTTCATTTTTCATTCGAATATTAGTTTCTTATTTACCAAATTGTTTACACAAACGTTTTGAGACCGTGATAGAAACCGTTGAATTCGTTTCTCTACTTCATATAGTTTTGGTTGTTCTACATGTATATTAAAACCTTCAACAACACAACAAAGATTGAAGTTCATTACCTTTGCTAGCTGTTTGTTTCATTCGTAGATGACCTTGAATGATGAGTTGTTTACCACACTTTCCCTTGAATACACTAACGTACCCACTTTGTTGTATGAAGTAGAAGTATCAATCAATCATAAGGAGAGCTCTCCTTTATAAGAAGAGTTAAATAAAATATTTTTGTGAAAGATGAAAAACTTCACACATGTAAATAGACTGTTTGAGATCGTAAAATGGATGGTAGGGCTATTTAAGTATACAATAATTAGACAATCCTTTGGATAACTAATAAGAATATATGTATGGATGTAGGTTTATGTTGTAAAATAAATAACATATTAACCTCATGCAGTCTATAAATCTGTCTTAATTCCCCAGTAGATTTCCATTTAAAAATAAAATAATTATTACAGAACTATTCATCCGTATTCTAAACAATTAAATCAATATCGAGGCAATACTCACAGTTTGCACATACGCCAATAAGAGACTGATCAATTGCAGTCCTAAACATCAATAGAAAGATTCAATTAAACAATACCAAGTGAATTTATTCATCCGTATGACTTTAAAACTTCAGTTGTTTAGAGCTTTTTTATTCATGTAAATAACTTCACTCTTATGCACATTCTTTGAAAGTATAAATTAACAAATTGATTATGGTATTCTACTACAGGATAGCTATAAATGATATGTCAACATTCACTGTTACAATGGACCCTGGTGTCCGAATATACTATGAGAAACTATAGTTTTTTGTCTGGATTATTGGCTAATAATTCAAGGGTAGTAAAGATTGAAAGATTTACTTAATTAGTTATAGAATGTAAATAATTAGATTTGGTCGGACATTCTAGTTATAATAAAGTTCAAATCTACAGTGTCCACGTCTCGTCATAATAGCTGGAAGTCATGAATGATGTTTACTTGGGTAACTTGACGTCTATATATAGTTCGTTTTCCATTTTAATTACAGTACTTGCTCTCATTTTCATTTATTACCCTACTGTAATTAAAAGCCTTGCCATGACAGTGATTGATAGACGTCATTCGAACAATCTTTTCGAAAGTTTGTTAAAATTAGGTGTCTTGTATATTATGTTCTTATATAAACTAAATTGCATAGTTGTAGAAAGTGTGGTTAGTGATACTAACTAGTAAAGTGAATTATTATATGTATTTTTTCTCAAAAAATTACATTTTTAACATTGAATTGTAGTGACAGATTTAGTACGCATTTTATAGAAGATTTAAAGTACACTAAATAAAAAACTGGATGAAGAGTCGTAAATAAGGCGAAAAACCCGATATGGAATTCATTATTAGCCACTATCCAAATCTTCGTAATGTTTGCTGTTTTTACTTTATAAGATAGTAATAACCGCTGTGTTATAGATAAAGGTGACAATTCTTGTCATTCGTTTAAAATATTCGTAAGGAATATGTCGTGTGATAACTCCGCCTGGATTCCTTCCGGGGGCTACTGCCGGTCCCAAGCCCGGATAAAGGAGGAGGGTTGGGCATGGGGTTAGCGTCACCATCCCGTAGAACAATAACTCGCTAAAAAACGCTAACCAGAAAAAATTATTCAAACCTTTTAAACTCTGCCCTGGGAGTCAGAAGGTCTTCATTTAGAAGATCTATGACGCCTCATGATGAAAGCCGAATTCCTTCGGAAGTTACGAGGCCGATGCCCCTTCTGACAACCAGAGCGACCATTTATTTAGGTACATGGAATGTTCGTACAATGTGGGACACCGGGAGAGCCTTCCAAATTGCTGCAGAAATGAGAAGATACAACCTAGAGGTACTTGGGATCAGTGGAACACATTGGACGCAAGTTGGACAACAACGACTAACTACAGGAGAGCTCCTGTTATACTTCGGCCATGAAGAAGAAAATGCCCCACATACACAAGGAGTTGCATTGATGCTGTCCAAACAAGCGCAAAATGCACTTATAGGATGGGAATCTCATGAACCAAGGATCATCAAAGCCTCGTTCAAAACAAAAAAGAGGGCATTTCAATGAATATCATCCAATGCTATGCGCCTACCAACGACTACAATGAAAACGCTAAAGATCAATCGTCGAGAAGTGCCAAACAAAAGACATGACCATTCTGATGGGAGATTTCAACGCCAAGGTTGGAACGGACAACACTGGATATGAAGACATCATGGGACGACATGGACTGGGAGAAAGAAACGAAAATGGTGACAGATTTGCAAACCTATGTGCCTTCAATAAACTGGTCATAGGTGGCACCATATTCCCACATAAACGCATACACAAAACCACATGGACTTCCCCTGATCACACCACGCAAAACCAAATCGACCATATTTGCATCAACAAAACATTCAGGAGGACTATAGAGGACGTGAGAACCAAGCGAAGAGCCGATATAGCATCAGATGGTCGCCAAGATGAAATTGAAACTCAAGAAGCACTGGACAATGGGGCGGACAATATCACAAAAGTTCAATACGGCCTTTCTTCAGGATACTAAAAAACTCAACAAATTCAAGATAGTCCTTAGCAATAAGTTCCAGGCCTTTCATGATCTACTCAATGGAGGAGGAACTACTGTGGAGAGCAACTGGAAGGGGATCAAAGAGGTAATCACTTCAACATGTCATGAGGTCCTGGGTCACAAGAAGCACCATCACAAGGAATGAATCACTGTTGATACACTGGATAAGATTCAAGAAAGGAGAAACAAGAAGGCGGCAATCAATACCAGTCGAACAAGAGCAGAAAAAGCCAAGGCACAAGCTGAATACACAGTAGTAAACAAACAAGTGAAGAAGAGCATCAGAACCGACAAACGTAAATATGTGGAAGATCTAGCAAAGACGGCGAAATGGCTGCAAGAGAAGGGAACATGAGACAACTGTATGACATAACAAAGAAACTCTCTGGAAATCGCCGCAAAGCTGAACGACCAGTGAAAAGCAGGGAAGGCGAGGTAATCACCAACATTGAAGAGCAACAAAACAGGTGGGTAGAACACTTCAAAGAACTCTTGAATCGACCAGCTCCACTGAACACACCCAACATCGAAGCAGCACCCACGGACCTCCCAATCAACGTTGGACCACCAACAATTGAAGAAATCAGCATGGCCATCAGACAAATCAAGAGTGGCAAAGCAGAAGGACCAGACAACATTCTAGTAGAGGTACTAAAAGCAGACGTAGCGGCAACTGCAAGGATACTCCACATTCTCTTTAATAAGATTTGGGATAAGGAACAAGTACCAAAAGACTGGAAAGAAGGACTTCTGATCAAAATACCGAAGAAAGGCGATCTCAGCAAGTGTGATAACTACAGGGGCATCACTCTTCTTTCAATACCGGGAAAAGTCTTCAACAAAGTATTGTTAAACAGGATGAAGGACTGCGTAGACGCCCAACTTCGTGACCAACAGGCAGGATTCCGTAAGGATAGATCGTGTACAGACCAAATCGCAACTCTACGGATCATTGTGGAACAATCAATTGAATGGAATTAATCACTCTACATCAACTTGATTGACTACGAAAAGGCATTTGATAGCGTGGACAGAACAACACTATGGAAACTTCTTCGACACTACGGCGTGCCTCAGAAGATAGTCAATATCATACAGAGTTCATATAATGGATACACTGCCAAATCGTGCATGGAGGACAGTTGACAAAGTCGTTCGAAGTGAAGACCGGTGTTAGGCAAGGTTGCTTACTCTCACCCGTTCTCTTTCTCCTGGTGATCGACTGGATCATGAAGACGTCAACATCTGAAGGGAAGCACGGAATACAATGGACATCTAGGATGCAGTTGGACGATCTGGACTTCGCAGATGATCTGGCCCTTCTATCCCAAACGCAACAACAAATGCAGGAAAAGACAAACAGTGTAGCAGCTACCTCAGCAACAGTAGGTCTCAATATACACAAAGGGAAGAGCAAGGTTCTCCGATACAACACAGCATGCACCAATCCAGCCACAATTGACGGAGAAGATTTGGAAGATGTAAAACCTTTACATAATTGGGCAGCATCATTGATGAACATGGTGGATCTGATGCAGATATGAAGGCGCGGATCGGCAAAGCAAGAGCAGCATATTTAAAACTGAGGAACGTCTGGAACTCAAAACAACTGTCAACCAACATCAAGGTCAGGATTTTCAATACAAATGTCAAGACAGTTCTACCGTATGGGGCGGAAACCTGGAGAACTACGAAAGCCATCATCCAGAAGATACAGGTGTTTACTAACAGTTGTCTACGCAAAATACTTCAGATCCGTTGGCCGGACACTATTAGCAACAACGTACTGTGGGAGAGAATAAACCAGATCCCAGCGGAGGAAGAAATCAGGAAGACGCGCTGGAAGTGAATAGGACACACATTGAGGAAAGCACCCAACTGCGTCAAAAGATAAGCCCTCACATGGAATCCTCAAGGCCAAAGGAGGACAGGAAGACCAAAGAACACATTACGCCGAGAAATGGAAATAGACATGAAAAAGATGAACAAGAATTGGATGGAATTAGAAAAGAAGGCCCAGGAGAGAGTGGGTTGGAGAATGCTGGTCGGCGGCCTATGCTCCATTGGGAGTAACAGGCGTAAGTAAGTAAGTAAAGTAATGTCGTATGATAATCCTCTCTTTTTCTTCACACTTCTAACATCTACTTACTAGCTAATAAATCCCGTTAATAAAATTTGTTATTTTCGAGTTTCTGTGTAGCACATAAACAAATCTGTACAATTCTATTAAGGTGTACTTTATTGATTAATTGTTCGGATCTAGGATTTGGGTTAAAGTTGGATTACGATACAAAATAAGCCGACCTTTAAACATAATTCCAGTCATAAACCGTTAATTCTAAACACTACATCTTAATTCTAAGGTCTTCATTCTGGGATGATAAATCATTCATTCATATTTGCTTTTTTTTTTCTGATTGATTAAAAGAAATCATGAACTTTCCAGGGTCATTTTAAGAGTCGGTCAAGTTCACTCTTACATTTCAGGTTTACTGGTGTTTGGTTTGAACTAAATTATGAATGAGGTCTTTGTTCACCTTCAGTCATATAAAAGCTAATTTGATAACTAAGTCTATTTCAAGTCGTCTAGTAATTAAATATCCATTCCTTGATATTTACATGGATGATGAAATGGATACTTAAGAGTATATCATTATTTTAAGATATCTACCAAGACAGTAATAAATGTTATCCCGTATATTTCTCAATTCGTACTTTGTTAAACTTGATGCTCTTGAGACTTGCAGATTAATTAGTTATCTAATACTTTTCGTATTCCAGTGGCACCTCAACCTCGTGTCATTTTGGGGTGGATATCACCTACAAATTAAATCACAGATGCCAACTTAATGTAGTGAACATGATTACCCACTCGAGCAACCTTGGCTGAGACACTTGCTCCTCAAAACACTACCATCGCAGACAAGTCGGATGGACAACAGTTAGATCGAAAGCACCAAATTCAAGGTACGAAGGTGAAGTCATTCTACCGAATGTACACAGATATCACGCATGTAATTCGTTTCCCTCAAACAACCAGTGTTTGCAGCAGTTCTCCCCACAACTGAAGAAATGAATCAGTAAGAGTCGTATCAAAAATATCATACATGACCTCAATTCAAGGAATGCTTACCAACGGTGGTGATAAATCTATGAAAGTACGAAGTGAATTTGTCAATAACTACTAGTATGAAAGCTATGTGTGACCGATCTCAATGGGTTTTCTGTTAGGTTCATCATTCATGCTTCCAGTTTGATAAAGCTGCTTACTGTCGACTTGATTTTATTTTAGATTCCTCGAGAAGATAGGCAGACATAATATTTGTGATGGATGACCGTCTTACATCCATCATGATTGAACTCCACTGGTCACTATTCATTAGAACTTCAGAGATTTTATCTTGAAATTAGTCACTAGAGATCACATATTTATATTTTATTTATATATTATTGACATAATAAATATGTGGTAAGCGATTTTCCTATGTTCTGTTTCCATGGTGGGGTAATGGATGCTCACTGATGTAGAGTCCTGAACAAGAACGAAAAACATTATCTCATACCTTCTGGTTTTTAATGGTGATCTTGCAAAGATCAGTTCGTGATTAAGACTGGGAAAATTCTACAATCTTCACAAACTTCCTATCTTCTTAAAATGATAAATTTATACAGGGATTTAGAAAATAAGATATTTATTATGAAGATTACTGATAAAATGTTATCATAATTAAACTATCATAATAATTGTGTTAGGTATGCAGAGGAATATGCCAATAATTATCGTGTCAAGTCGAATGGTGTCCTTGGACGTTAAATGTACATTTCCTATTGGTCGATATTTGCTTCAGTTGTTTAATATTGTGTAAATGTTGTTTCCTATTTTTATGGTACGATGTGGTATGCTTGGTTAGTATATAAACAGAGTGTGTTTGAAATATAATGATTCATTTCTCAGAGGCTGTGGCTTTGTTCTGGACTCAACTGGCTGGGGTAGACAGAGAAGCAGGGCCAATCAGGGCACTAGGTCGTTCGTACGTATTTACGTGTCACTGTAACCGATCGATCGATATAAACGCTGCTTTATCAAAACCTGCAGTCACACCCGTTACAACAAATTGATATGAAGATACTTGTTTCCTATTCATATAATAATGTCATATGTATCAAAATTAACTGAATGTATCTGTACATAATATATTGTATGACACTAGTAATAAGTTACAATATATAAACAAATGATTTTGATTAGAAAGGTTGAACATGTTCACCTATCAATAATTATTTTAACTTTGGACAGAAACAAAATTTTCATGTAGCATATATTACAATTACCATGTGATAATCATCATATGCTTGTTATTATTCAATAGAAAATCTATGTAATGAAATAAACGGTTTATCATTAATAGGAATGTGCCTAAACTAAGCAAACAATCTTTCATGATTTTAAATAATTGTAGAATAATACCCCTAAATCTTTAATTTTTAGGAAAAAATTGACCAATTTAATGAAGATTTTGGAGAAATCATATTGGAATAACTATGACAGCAACAACAACAACAACAGTAACTCCCCAACATGTTGAGACTGATTATATGAATGATTGAAAAATTTAACAGATGGATGGATCAAATTGAATAACTCCATTTTCATTGTATCCTGCTAGTCTCTGATAAGTATTATACACTTATTAAATATGATGGAATTATTAACTAAAGTTGAATAGTGTCCAGAAGTAGGATCGGTGAGACTCTAATTTATGGACGACATTTGAACGAATCTTAAGTGACCTTGAGAAACATTAGACAATCAGTAAACAGTCAGTATAGATTAAAAATATATTATACAAAACAAAGGAAATAAAGTGGATACATTTCTTATACGTAGTTCAAAAACTTGTCAAGGTTAGAAAGAGGTTCAGAGGTTCTAAAATCGTAATGAATGCAGTAGAGGAAATCATCCATACGGCTACAGAATAGTCGGCCTCTGGAGGCATAATAAAGTCTCAAATACTCTTTCAGTCTCGACCACATAGCTTCAATATTGTTTATGTGCACTCCGGTTGTTGAGTGCACAAAATGCTACTTGTGGATAACGGCACGATGCACATAACCAAGCCTATGTAGGAGTCTGTACGCTCTTCAAACATATATATTGTAGTACCTGGCTGCAGCTAGTGTTACTGGTGTTTTTATTATCCAGTTCGCGATAATTGTCGTAAGTTGCCTTAGTTAGGAATTATATATGGGGTTTTCATCACGAACTGACACCAGCTATAATGTCAGAAATATATTTAGCCAAATGGATGAAAGGCTTTCACACCAAAAATCCGAGATCTATTATCTTATACCTGATTGATTCGTCTACAAATTATAGTCTCGCCGTGTTATTTGTTATAGTCGCTCAATTATCTCGTTTTGTACAAATTTCCCTGCGAATCGTTCGTACGTTAGCATTAAGCACTGAAGTTGGCGCCGTAACCTAAAAATCTCTAAAACGCCTCTGATTGGCTCGTCCATATATTAAAGTCTCACCGTAGGATCCAATATTCATTTTTTGTCCTATTTGGGACACATCAGCTGAATATACTTGCATCTTAATGTTAATGCTTAAAAGAAAATACTGACCGATTGTAGACCTTAACATCATCAACAACAAGATAATAAACAATTACACAAATCAAATTGATCAAATTAGTTGGGTTTTTTTTTCACCGTAATATTCATTAAAATAAATAGTGATTAATGTATCCAAATTTGAACTTGAAAATGAATGAATGAATGAATATATTGCTGACAGTTGTAAACAATCAACAACCATTGTAAACAATCACCACTCAAATTATTATTTATTATTTATGTAGTTTATTTATCACGTACTTTTAATGATAAAGACTATGGTCAATCAGGTGGTTTGTGTCACATGATAACCTAATAACCTTATTCATTGTTGTGACTTAGTGTTAATTGGTAATTCTGTAAATCGTATGAATATTTTCATGTTGTTTTTTTTTGTTTGTTAAAAAGTTGAAATATATAGATGTTACATCGGGGAAATCAGTTTTATGAAATTAGTATCCTAATGAATTTCGATACATATATATCTACAAAATGCACAGAATACTTACTTACTTACGCCTATTACCCCCAATTGAGCATAGGCCATCGACCAACACTCTTTAACCCACTCTGTCCTGGGCTTTCCATTCTAGTTCTATTCAATTGTTGTTCATTCATTTCATGTCTGTCTCCATTTCTCGGCTTAATGTATTCTTTGTTCTTCCTCTTCTCTCTTGACCTTTAGGATTCCAAGTGAGGGTTTGCCTTGTGATGCAGTTGATTGTTTTCCTCCAGAATGGTGGAGGGGAAAAAATAAATATTGATGCTTAAAATAGTTATTTGTTGATACATTAATATGTTGTCACGTTAAAACGTTGAAAAAAAATCAATTTTGGCATGTAAAATGTTAATAATAATTAGATTTGATTGCTCAATCAATGATGGTCATTCAATTACTGATGCTATTGAAGAATACAATAAGAGACTTTAACCATTGAGTGTGGGTTATTTATAGTCAAGCATATGCGTATCCTGATATTTGTTT